GGGGAAGAGAGAGGTGCTCCTGTATGTGGCATCCCCGTGTGCCCCCTTACAGGCAGCAGCTGCCCTGAAATCTCTCCTGTGGGGCACTGCACAGCTAGCCTCACACCAGGCCCCTCCCCCCAACCCAGCACACATATACTTCCAGATTTGACTTGACCACTCCCTCAGCTGCCTGCAGAGGCCAATTAATCCTTGAACTGACCCTTGACGAGAGGGCAATCATCCCCACCTGACAGGTCACAAAGCCTGGGCTGAGAAAGGTGAACTTACCTCAGGTCACACAGAAGGGGCTAGATCTAGGTGGGTCTGCCTCCATAGCGGAGGTCCCACATTGCTCCCCCCTTCTCTGCACACGGGGTCAAAGGCCCAGGGTCAAGCCCCTTCCCCTGGGAAGGCTTTCCTGACCAGCTCAGGCAGGTAAGTGCTCCCTCCCATTCGCTCCAGCTCCCGGTGCATCCATGTGTCTCCTCACTTCATGACTGTCCCTGTGCCTGACACGGGGCGCAGAGGGGTCTCGGTGCGGTCCTGGACCCAGGATCGCTTAGAGCAGTGGTTCTCAACCTTCCTAATGCCGCGACCCTTTAATACAGTTCCTCATGTTGTGGTGACCCCCAACCACAAAATTATTTTCGTTGCTACTTCATAACTGTAATTTTGCTACTGTTATGAATCATAATGTAAATATCTGATATGCAGGATGTATTTTCATTGTTACAAATTGAATATAATTAAAGCATAGTGATTAATCACAAAAACAATATGTAATTATATATGTGTTTTCCGATGGTCTTAGGCGACCCCTGTGAAAGGGTCGTTCGACCCCCAAAGGGGTCGCGACCCACAGGTTGAGAACCGCTGGCTTAGAGCCTGCAGGAGGAGCAGGACGTGGATGCCGCAGAATGTGCAAGGCAGGGACTGGGCCTCGTTCTCAGCCTTTTCCCCGGGGCCCAGAGCAGCGTTCAGCAGATCTTTGCTGAATGACAGAATGGCGTGACTGTCCCTCTGCGCAGGCTGTGTTCTGGAGACACTCAGCAGGCATGGTCGGGCAGGGTGGGGCTGGTACACGGACACCCCTTCTGGCTGCCAGAGGGAGTCTGTGGAGAAGGGGCCACCAGGTCCTGGGGTGGGGAAGTCAGAAGACAGTCTTGCTCCAGCTAAAATGAGGGGACTAGAATGGCCATGTCCTTAGGTCATCAGCGTGCCCGAGAATGACTTCTTCTTTGACTTTGTCCGACACCTGACAGACTGGATAAAGAAAGCACGGCCCGTCAAGGATGGTAACATGAGGCTGGGTCCTGGGTGCATCCGAGGCCCAGAGCAGGGCAGGGGGCTGGCTCCATGTCATACCCAGAGGGTCTCCTCCGGGGCTGGTGCTGGGCATTGGGCACATCTTGTCCTGGGACCTTTGGGTGACACCCGGCTGCCCTCTGCCGCAGGAATCGTGCCCTCGCTCACCTACCAGGTGTTCTTCATGAAGAAGCTGTGGACCACCACGGTGCCAGGGAAGGACCCCATGGCAGATTCCATCTTCCACTACTACCAGGTGAGCCGCCAGCGCCGCTCTGCGGCTGTAGCCTCCGCGTGCTGCGTGCGGCCTGTGCGCCTGTGGAAGCGGAGACCTGTGTCCTTGCCAGGACGGGGCTGTACCGGCACAGTCTTAGGGAGAGATTTGTCCTGCTCTCTCTTCTGGGATGCTCTTCTCTCGGGTCTCTTCCTCTTTACCTGCTGAGCTTTTGGACGTGAATTCCATCATCGGATGTGTCTTTTTTTCAATTACACTTTACATTCAATAGTATTTTGTATTAGCTCCAGGTGTACAGCATAGTGGTTAGTCATATACTTTACAAAGTGTCCCGTCCAGCATTTTCAGTACCCACCTGGCAGCATGCCTAGTTATTACAATGTTATTAACTATACTTCCTATGCTGTACTTTAGATCCCCATGACTATTTTGTAACTGCCAATCTGTACTTCTCAATCCCTTCACCTTTTCCACCCAGTCCTCTAATCTCCCACCCCTCTGGCAACCATCATTCTGTTCCTTATGAGTCTGTTTCTATTGGTTTATTTTGTTCTTTAGATTCCACATGTAAGTGAAATCATATGGTATTTGTCTTTCTCTGACTGCCTTATTTCACTTAGTGTAATACCCTCATTCATACTGTTGCAAATGTGTGTGGTTTTTTTGGGTGAGTAATATTCCATTGTGTATATGTACTACAGCTTTTTTATCCGATCGTCTACGGATGGGCACGTGGGTCACTTTCATAACTTGCTTATTGTAAATAACACTGCAATGAACATAGGGGTGCATATATTCTTTCAACTTAGTGTTTTGGGTTTCTTTGGATATACTAGACCTAGAAGTAAAATTGCTGGGTCAGAAGGCAGTTCTATTTTTAATTTTTTGAGGAATCTCCATGCTGTTTTCTATGAATCATCTTCAGGGAAGTCTTCCCTGTCCCTGAGACTCTATCAAGTCACTTTGTTCTGTGTTCTCATAGCACTGGGGATATTTCCTTCAAAGATTGGGATTGTACATTGGTTTGATGTGATAATGTCTGTCCTTGCTTTGCCTATAAGTTCAGTGAGAGTAAGGAGGATATATGTTGTTGCTTATAGGGCTCGGCTCATAGTTGATGCTCAATAAGTAGATGTTGGCTTGATGGGTGCGTGAATAGGTGACTCTGTGAATGGATGGGAGAAGGATGGATGGTGAATGAATTTTTGAATTGGATATCGGTGAATGGATGGGTGAATGGGTAAGTGGGTAGGAGGGTTGGTAGGTGGATGGATGAACAAATAGGGAAATGGGTGGAAACAGATGTGTGGGTAGACCCATATGGCTGGGTAGATGGATGGATGAGTGGGTATAGATGAGCAGATAGGTGGTAGCGTGGATGAGTATATGAGTGAGTACGTGAAAAGGTAGGTGGGTCACCATTGACTTGGGTTTCTGATTTGCCCTGTGTCCTCAGGCAAGCCTCCGTTTCCCTATGCTTTAAACAAGAGAGCTTCAAGGCTCCAGGAGCCTGTGGGTGGTGCTGGCCCTTTAGAGGATTCATCTGTGTTTTTGAGTTACCCGTCATCCTCAGTTACTCTGGTTCTGGGTCTGGAAGTTCAAGGTGCGGAATGGGCTGGTGCTGCTGCTGAAACCAGCCTGTCTCAAGGGATCAGTGGAAGGAGGCTGGCTGAGAGGCTTTCCCCACAGAAGGACAGGCCTGGGCAGAGAGGCTTTTCCCACAGAAGGACAGGCCTGGGCGGGCTGGTGAATCGTCTCAGGTTCACCAGCTGGTCACTGTGAGTTTCTGCGTTTTTGAAATGGGACTGCTCACCCCGCTGGACTGTTATGAGGGGAAATGACATACTGTTCCCACGCAGCTCTGTTTTGAACTGCAACGTGCTGAACCTGTGTGGCCACAATTGCTGCTGTCCTGCCCTGTACCATTTCCCCTTAAGGAGGCTGGAGAAGCAGGTGGACCCAGCCTCGGGGTGGTAGGGAGGAAGTCCCTGCCTCCCTGTGACCTGTTCTGTCTCTGGCAGGAGTTGCCCAAGTATCTCCGAGGCTACCACAAGTGCACGCGGGAAGAGGTGCTGCAGCTGGGGGCGCTGATCTACAGGGTCAAGTTCGAAGAAGACAAGTCCTACTTCCCCAGTATCCCAAAGCTGCTGCGGGAGCTGGTGCCCCAGGACCTCATCCGGCAGGTCTCACCTGACGACTGGAAGCGGGTGAGCATGGGGGAGGCGGTGGGAATAAGGTCCCCCACAATGGGTCTCCGGGCACCCCAGGGGCCAAGGAGCAGCCAACAGCCCAGGGAAGCGTCTCCTGTGGCCCTGCGTGTGATAGGGTCACCCTCCCATTCCCTCTCTACTTGCTTTAGTCTCCAGTCTTTCAGGCAAAGGAGTCAGGCAAAGGCCACTTTGCAATGATGTTCCATCCTGGTTACCGTGGTTACCATGATGGCTGTGGTGTCCTGGCTTTACTTGATTGCTACTCTTTGGCCTGCTTGCTTGCGGGAGGGAAGGGAGGGCAGCAATCCACTAACTGGGACAAGGAGGCAGCTCGTCATGGCTCCAGGACCCCATCCTATGCCTGGCCCTCCAAGGCCCATGACAGCTGCTGACAGAGCAGATGGGGGAGGGGCAGGGAGAGGACTGACCCAGCCTCCCCCTGCAGTCCATCGTCGCCTACTTCAACAAGCACGCGGGGAAGTCCAAGGAGGAGGCCAAGCTGGCCTTCCTGAAGGTCATCTTCAAGTGGCCCACCTTTGGCTCAGCCTTCTTCGAGGTGAAGGTACGCTGTGGGCGGCTTCTCAGAGAGGAGGGAGGTGGGGGGGAGGGGGCTGAAAAGACGGGGACTCCTCCCCAGGACCGTGGGGAGCAGCGGCGGCCTCTGTGCCTGCCCTGGCCTGGAGAGGAGAGCTCAGGACCTGTCTCAGCCGGGTGTCTCGGCTAAGTTCTGAGCCCTGAACTCGGTGCTGGACACAGAGGGACAAGACCTCAGCCTGGAGGGAAGCAGATGTGTAAACAGGCCAGACTCTCAGAGGATAATCTGTGGGAGCTCTTGTCAAGGTGGCATGGCAGGGCTGCCAGCACCCTGCCCCCCTGGCACCGAGTTGGCAGGAGAGGTCAACTTAATCCCAGCTGGAGCGTCTTTATTCTGCCCCAGATGCACACAGCTTTTCCTGCTCTGGGTCCCCACCTGATGATTTTTTACTTTCTTTACTAGCAAACTACGGAGCCAAACTTCCCGGAGATCCTCTTGATTGCCATCAACAAGTATGGGGTCAGCCTCATCGATCCCAGGACCAAGGTGAGCAGAGACAGGGCAGAGCAGGCAGGGGCAGGCTGCTCTGTCTGCACCCCTAATAAAGCCCCTGCCAGCCTCCACCCTCACGTCACCTGCCCTCGTGGCCACACATCTTGAGAGGCTGTGTTTGTTCCGACTACTTCCTGACCCTCATCTGCTCCATCCAAACGGCTCTGCTAGTTACTAACACCTTGTTACCAAACCCAGGGAACGCCTTAGCACTTACCTGTCAGCATCATTGGACGCTACCATCCACTCTTTCCTTCCTACATGCTCTCTGCCTGTCGTGGGCAGCATGGCAGGCTGTGCTGGGGTGACTAATGCTCATATTTATGGGCCAAGCAGTCCCACCCAGGGGACCAGGAAGCACAGACCTACCACGCGCACAGGAAGACAGCTGCACTGTGGGCGCCAGTGACCCGTCTTCCTCTTGGCTCCGTGTTTGCCTGGTTTTCCTCTCAGACCCGTCTGTGGGATTCCTCTCTATCCAGCCCATAACACTGTGTTCCCCAAGGTTCTGTCCTGTCTTTTCTTTTTAATCTTTCTTGTTGAAAGTATTACATATGTCCTCCTTTTCCCCCATTGACCCCTTCTAGCCCGCCCCCCTCCCCCCAGCTGTCTTCTTCTTGTATCTTTCCTAGACTTTCCCTGGAGTCTCACCCAGGACCACAGTTTCAGTTCCTTTAGGCCTTCAACATGTCCACTCCCAGTCCCACATCCCAGCAGTCTCCTGACTCCCTTGGGTGTCCCGCCTGCTGGTCCCAACCCAGACGTGGGGCAGGAAGGCCCCTGCCTCCCCAGCAGCACTCTGGCAGAGCTAGCCTCTACCCTCCTGCTCGTCTTCCCAGGGCCCCAGGCCCTTCCTATGGGTGGTGTCTGTGGGCTGGAGCTGAAGGGAGTGAGGCCAGAGAGTCCAGGCTGTGCAGCCTCAGACCTTCTGCTCCCCCAGGACATCTTGACCACGCACCCCTTCACCAAGATCTCCAACTGGAGCAGCGGCAACACCTATTTCCACATCACCATTGGGAACCTGGTGCGCGGGAGCAAGCTGCTCTGTGAGACGTCGCTGGTGAGAGCTCCTTTCCAGGCCTGGCGGGCGCCCCTGCCGCACTAAAGCTGCAGCCGCTCTCCGGGCCCTGGAGCAAACATGGGGAGTGCGTGGCTTGGCCTGGGGCCAGGATCAAGAGTCAGGTTGGGGCCAAGGTCAGGTCATTTTGAGGCTCAGCTTTAGGTCTGGGAGAAGAGGCTTAATCTGGGGCTGAGGAACAGACCCCTCCTGCAGTAACTATTGTTTGAGTGCCTTTAGTACCGGGGGAGTGAGCCTTCAACTCTGAGTTCAACAGTAAAACCATTACCAACGAGGCCTCCTGGACTCAATTTCCAAGGCATAGCTTCACTTGTAGCCTTTAGAGTCATTCTTGGAGGTAGGCTTCCAGGATGTGAGGGACCCGCAAGCTAGGCCTTCATGTGGGGTCATACAGCTTAGACCCGTAGACATCTACCTGGAGGAATCCAGCCCCTCCACTGTGCAGCTGGGGAGACCGAATCCAGAGTGGACGAGAGTTGCCTTGTCCAGGGTGCTGCCTACTGTGCTTCTCTGGGAGCTGGGTCTGCGTGGGCTGGGCCTGTCCTTTGCACTGTTTATCATCTTGCCACTGTCTCCAGGGCTACAAGATGGATGACCTCCTGACTTCCTATATCAGCCAGATGCTCACGGCCATGAGCAAACAGCGGGGCTCCCGGAGTGGCAAGTGAACAGTGTGGAGGCGGCACGGGCTCTGTGCCTGCGCCTCAGGTGGCAGCTGGGTGAAGACCTTTGCCATCGGGCAGGGAAGCTGGGCCGGCCAGCCACCAGTGACAGCACCAGCTTGGACTCTGGTCCTCCTTCCAGTGAGGTGGCCTTGCTGGGGTGCAGAGCACCCTTCCAACACCCCTAAGGCCCGCAGGTAGGATTTGGTCCTGGCTGTGGCCTTCCCGTTTGTAAGAGCCTGTGCTCCGTGCACGCTTCTCTCATCCCAGACCAGCCCGGCCATGCGACCTCCTTTGGCTTTCTGTGCGCACTGGGACCGGGAATCAAGAGGACACCCTAGTTCTCCATCCTGGGGGCAACCAGACCAAACCAACCCAATCAAGAGTATTCTGACACCTAAGGACTGGACTGGTTGAATTCCCGTACGTCCAGGACCCTCCGCTGGGGTGGAGGAGACGGACCCCTCTCTCTATTGCAGTGTGAGTGCTGAGCCCCTCTTTCCTGACCACCTCAGGTCATAAAGCACGTGTTTCACCTTCTGGCCTGGGAGTGTCTCTAATGGGAGGAGGAGGGAAAGAGTCTGTGGGGACAGGGCCCTGTTGGCTGTGTAACTCTCTCCTTGGTCTGTGTACAGGGCCAAGCTGGTCTGGGCCTGGGGGTAGGGGTGTCTGAGCCCAAGGTGTGCTTGAAAGAGATTTAAAAGACTGGCTGAGACAAGGGCAGATAGCAGAGAAATGCTGGGCTTTGGCCTGGGAGGTGAGGACCTAAGTGTGCATGGGCAGGAGGTCAAGGAGGGACTGGCTTCTGAGCCTTCACCAGGGCCAGTGGAGCCAGAGTGGCCCCGGAATCCTGCCAGAAACATCTCCTTGGTTCATCAAGAAATTGAGAACCCCACGAACAATGTCTCTTTGGGTTAAATCCCTACATCCAGTGGGTGCCTATAAAATGCTACTTTGACACCAGGATGGAACAACCAAGTTTGGCCATGACCTGGGCAGGTCTGGAGGTGGGGGCTTCAGAGAGGGAAGGTGTAATTTGGGGCTGTGGCCGGGATGAGTGCCTAGTGAGGTGACAGGGGAGAATCCCCTTGAAGTGGGTGTGTCTGTGATCTGCCTTGGGGTCCCCCTGATACTTCAGCAGAGCCAAGTCCTGCTTGCCCTCACACACCCAGGTGTTTAGCGTCTAGGTGCCCAACCGACCCACAGGGAGTACTATTCCTGTTCTCCGCAGCTGCCTGTGGGAGAGGGAGGCGGGGTTGAGGAAACGCAGGCCCCAAACCATAGCCCTGCCTTCTGGGATGGTCGTGTTGCTGTCCTAGACTGTCCTGCCCCTCCCTTCTCCCGCCCCCCACAACCCCGAGTGGTTACCTGCCTCCACAGTCAGTCCAGGATAAGCCTGGGCCTGGGGGAAGGTGCTACAGTGGTCTGCCCCTACACCATCATCGTATAGATGGGGACACTGAGGCCCAGATAAGTGTGAATAGGTGATGGTCACCTAGTGGAACTCAATTCACTGCTTCTACTATTGGGATCCCACACAGAAGGGGCTCCAGCTGCTTGTTCTAAATTGTAATTTCCCTTCAAGGAATGAGCCCTCTTTCCATTGGGGAATCAGCCAACAGCAAACTATTAGGAAGCATCATCCCACTTCACACTAGATCACAAAGAATGCCTGTGGATAAAATCTTTGCCCCTAACATGCCCAGGCCACCTCTCATTTTCTGACCCAGGATGGCATCCCTTTTGCACTCATCCCCTAGTCTTTTTCAGCCTGAGTCATCACAGAAGGGTCCAAAGAATGCATACTCCACTTACCTTCTGTCTTCCTGAAAGGTTGCCTTTATTTACATGCTGAAGTTCACCACCGCCGCTCCAATAGCAGGGCTACTATGAAGGGTTCGGATGAGAAAAACCCGTATCATCCAGGGAAGAATGCGCTCCAGCTCCAAGACCACAGTAGTTGTTTTCCCTCTTGCCTACACCCTGGAGCTGCATCCTTTATAGAAAGGCTAGACCAGACGTTCTCCATCGAGCTTCCAATGCTCTTCTGCACTCCCTTCTTGACCACTCCCCGCCATCACCACCCTTAGGCACAGAGAGGAAGAATTAGAAGGGGGCAAGATGTGGCTCATTCTTTGAAGAGAGCCCAAAGGAGAAGGACATGTTAGATGTGGTGGAAAACATCATAAAACAGGATTCTTGGGAGTATTCAACAGTGGGAGTCTTTTTGGGTTGTTTTAGGGTGAGGGGTGTCTATGGAGGAAACTGCTGGGTCCTTTGCCTCTGGCACTGCAGTCTGGAGGGTGGCCTCTGTTGGCCTTCTAGGTGAGCGCTGGGGTGGATTCAAAGGCCTTCTCAGTGGGCACCGGTTGTCTAAGGTCATCTGTAGCAGGCTCGGTGGCTTCCTGGACTGATTATGGTTCAATGTCTTTTATCCTGGTTAAACCTCGGGAGGGGCTGCTGGAGGCTCCGGGCTTTCCCCAGCTTGGGAAGATGGCATGGCTGCAGAGTAATCTTCTCCTTTCTCACTTTTTCTCCCTTTGTATCTTATACTTCCAGTATCTGTGGGATAGAAAAGACAAACACACGGAGTTCTCAAATGTCACCTCTCCAATCCCTGTTGGTCATGTAGTGAAATCTTCGTTATATTTAAAATGTTAGTCCCTCACTTACCATCTCAGGTTCTTTCCCCCTAGTTCTCCCTATCCCAGACTTTGTGCAAACTTTATCATGGTCATGCAATTCAGCATGCCGCTGGAATCGGAGTCTATTGTGTGAGGTTCCAACCCCCCAGGGAAGCCCTCAGAAGACAGAAATTAACATTCTCTTAAAGTTCATGCACTTCACAACCATTGCCTTAAAAAATGAACACAAGAAAGAGAGATAAATAATGAACACTCCTCTATTAGAATAGGAGCTTCTTATGGTCAGAGACTTTGTCTTGCTTGCCACTAGATACAGTGTTGTCACAGAGTAAGTACTCAAAAAATAATTTTTATCTAGCTGACTAATAGAAAAAATAAAAGGTGGAGAGGTCTTCTAGCAATGGAGCTGGGAATTTGACTCTTACCAAAGACAAATTAAAAACTGGATAATATACAAAACCAATAAAATATCTTAAATGATATAAGAATTTACAATAAGGGAGGAACTGTGTAGCCAAAATCTAGAAGAAAGTGAGAATCCAAAGTGGTAAGCCCAGAACTCGGTTATTTTTTTTACCCTGAATGTAATTTCAATCTTGAAGAAATAGCTGCACACGTGAGCTTTATCTTTTGTCAGGAGGAAGGGGATTTTTTATTGCTCTTGAGTGGAATTTGTAGGTCAACTGAATTTTAGGACAACAAATACCTAGGATATTAGGTTTTCTAATTCATGAATGTGGTGTATTGCTCCATTTATTTGGGTCTTCTTTTAGCAAACATTCGTAGTTTTCAGGTTTTATGTTGTTATAAATGGCATTTAGATTTTTAAAATTTTACCAATTATTCATTGGTAATATAAAGTTTTACAATTAATTTCTCTGTATATTGACCTTATATCCTGAGCGACTACTTAACCCACTTATTATTTTCAATAGGTTTGTTTGTTGTTTGATTCCTTAGAGTTTTTAATTTAAATAATCATATCTGCAAATCAGAGGTTTTATTTATTCCTTTATAGCTGTCATTTATCTTATTAAACTGGCTATGATCTCCAGCACAATGCTGAATAGAAGTTGTGAGAGCAGATATCCTTGTCTTATTTCTGATCTTACAGGGAAAATATTCATTGCTTCCCCATTAAAAATGATATTGGCAGTAGGTTTATTGTAAATATATTTTATCAGATTGAGGAAGTTTAATCCCTATTCCTAGTTAGCCCAGACATTTATTATAAAGGGGTGTTGACTTTTGTCAAATATGCTTTTTTATTTTAATATGGGATTATATTAGTTTTTATATGAAATATCCATCTTGCATTACTGGTATACACCTTACTTTCTCATGATGTATCATCCTGTTTACATTGATTGATTCAATTTGCTAATATTTTGTTAAGGATTTTTATGTCTAAGTTTGTAGATGATATTGATCTGTAAATTTTGTTCTGTAATGTCTTTGTGAAGTTTTATATGAGGACTTTTCTGGCCTCAAAAATCAGGTGGGAAGTGTTCTTTCCTCTTTTTTTTGAGTTGGTATAATATTAGTATCATTTATTTATTTATTTTTAGTTAATCCTCACCAGAGGATATTTTTCCCCATTGATTTTTAGAGAGTGGAAGGGAGGGGGCGGGGGAGAGACAAACATTGATGTGAATGAGAGACACTGACTGGTTGCTTTCAGCACGAGCCCTGACCAGGGCAGGGGATTGAACCTGCAACCCAGGTACATAACTCTAGACTGGGAATCAAACCTGTGACCCTTCCGTGTGCAGGCTGGCACTCTAACCACTGAACACTACCGGCCAAGGCTATTAGTATTATTTCTTAAATATTTGAATAACCAGTGAAACACTTTGGGCCCAAACTTTTCTTTCTGGTGAAGTTTTTGATATATGAATTTGATTTTGATAGTGGGTTATTACAAATTTCTATTTCTTTTTCTGTCAGGTCTGGTAAAATATATTTTCAGGAATTGTTCCCTTCATTTTGGTTGTCAAATTTAATGACATAAAAATGTTCATAATTTTCCTTTTTATGGCTAGGATCTATGGATATACTCTTTTATTCATCATTAATTATATTGGCAACCTCTTTCTCTCCCTCCCCCCACCTCACACATCTTGCTAAGAGTTTATCAATATTATTAAACTTTTCAAAGGACTAACTTTCCACTGTTTTGCATTTCCTTTGTATCTTTCTGTTTTATCGATCGCTGCTATATTTAGTATTTCCTTTCTTTTACTTAGGAAAAATGTACTCTTCTTTTTATAGATTCTTAAGGTAGAAACTTAATCAGTATTAAACCTTTCTTCCTTCTAACATTTAAATTTTCCTGTAAGTCCTGCTGTTGTATATGCATTATCCTTTACTTAAAAATATATAATATCTAAGTTCCCTTGTGATTTACTCCTAAATCAATGGAATGTTTAAAAATACATTAATTTCCAGTATTTAGAGGCTAATCTAGATATTTTATTAATATTTGTTTTTAAGTTTGTTGTGGTCACAGAATATACTGTGTAAAGATCCAAATCTTTTGAAATTTATTTATTGAGACTTGTCTTATGACTTATCATCTGGTCTATTTTGGTAAATATGCCATGTACATTTGAAAATATGGTATATTCTTCCAGTTGTTGGGAATTTTGTTTTATGTCAATGTGACTGAAATTGTTGTTCAGATTTCTATAACCCTTCTGATTTTATTTTTTTGTGTGTGATTATTTATTTCAAGTACTGAGAGACTACTTATAAAATCTCCAACTATGATTTCTCTTTCATTTTTTGTTTCATATGGTTTGAAGCTCTGATATTAAGTGCATACATCATTTTATTTATAATGGCTTCCTGATATACTGACCTTTTCATCATTATGAAATCTTTGTTTCCAGTAATGTTCCATGTTTTGAAGTCTATTTTTTCTGATATTATTTCTTACTAGAGGCCCAGTGCATGAATTTGTGCATGGATGGGGTCCCTCAGCCTGGTTGACAATCAGGGTCAATCGCCCGATCAGGGTTGGCTGGCCAGGGGGAGGGACCCTGATCAGGGAGGGACCACAGGAAGTTGGCCAGCCACGGGAGGTTGGCTGTGGGAGCGCACTGACCAGCAGGGGGCAGCTCCTGCATTGAGCGTCTACCCCCTGGTGGTCAGTGCGCATCAGAGCAACCGGTCATTTGGTCGACTGGTCGTAAAGGTTGCTTAGGCTCTTATATATATAGATGCAGATTGTTTGCATGATATATTGTTTGCCCCATCCTTTTACTTTGAATCTATTTGTGACTTTGTTTTTAAGTATTTCTTTTGTAGACCACATATGGTTGGGACTTTCTTTTTTTCTATTAGACAATCTCTACTTTTGAGTATTTGGTCCATTTATATTTAATGTAATTAATAAAATGGTTGCATTTATGACTACCATGTTTCAACTTATTGTCTATTGTTTTTTTCTGTTATTTTGCTTCCTTTGTTCTCCTTTTTCTGAATCCATCTGCTATGAGATATATTATTGTGCTAGCTTTGAAAAAGTAAGCTGCTATGTTGTGAGAGGGCCATATGACAAGGACGTGAAGGTGAACTCCAGGAGCTCAGAGAAAAACCCTGTCATCAGTGATCAAGAGAACAGGGACAGTTACAGTCCTACAATTCTAAGGAACTAAATTCTGCCAAAAACCAGTGAGAATGAAAGAGTAATCTTAAGTCTCAGCCAGGCCAATTCCTTTATTTTAGCCTGGTGAGACTCTAAACAGAGTACCCAGCTAACCCATGCCTAAATTCCTGGCCATAATAAAATTACTGAAAACCAGTAACAAAAGAAACAATCATAAAAAGCAGTCAGAAGGGGACATCTCTAATACTTTCAACAATAAAGATAATGTTTTAAAAAGCAGAGAAAAAGGACATATTAGAAGTAGAGGAACAAAGATAAGAAAATGAAAAAACTATTTTTATCTTGGAAGACTTTTCATAAGAAACTATATGAGCCCTAGCCAGTTTGGCTCAGTGGATAGAGTGTTGGCCTGTGGACTGAAGAGTCTCAGGTTCAATTCCAGTCAAGGGCATGTACCTCGGCTGCAGACTCCTCCCCAGCCAGGGCCCTAGTCGGGCTCATGCAAGAGGCAACCAATCAATGTGTTTCTCTCACATAGATGTTTCTGTCTCTCCCTCTCTCTTCCATTCTCTCTAAAATCAATGGAAAAATATACTCAGGGGAGGATTTAAAAAGAAAAAGAAAAAAGAAACTATATAAGACAGAAAACAAAGGACTGACTTCTTTAGAGTGCTGAAAAAATATATCCTTAAGCTAGAAAGGTGCTGAATATCTTCTGATGGCAACAGCCATACATGCCCATCTTGTTGGTGGCTATGGTGTAAGATGTGACACTGTGGTTAGTATTGGGGGCTCTATTCCCCTCAACCTAGACTGAGGTTTTGAGTTCTATCTAGTCTTACTTGTTCCTTCCAGGATTCTAAACTTGGTCTTGAACCTTCTAGGTTTTTCTTGGAAGTACTCAAACAGCCTTTTGATACCTTTTCTTTCTGCTTAGATCAGACAAAATTAGTTTATGCAATAGGCAACTAAAAACTCTTAAACTGAAATACTCAACTTATTTTCTATTCACCTTCTCTCCTTTTCATTTTAACATGAAGGGTGTTGGAAGTTAACTGAGTACTTTTTCTAAGGCATTATAGCCATTAAAGGTATACATATCTTCAAATTTTCTTTCAAAACCTCTCCTATCCATGATTTCCTCACCATTTCCATGTTCTTTTCATTTTTTGGCTCTGTTAGTAATGGGCTGAATTGTGTGCCCCCAAATTCACATGTTAACCCTAACCCCAGTGCTTCAAAATCTAAACTATACTTGGCGATAGAGCCTTTAAAGAGTTTATTAAAATAAGACCATTAGGGTGGGCAATCTGCCTGAAGAAGAGGAAATTTGGAGACAGAGGCACTGAAGATGTGTATGCGCATAGAGGAAAGGCTGTGTGAGGTACAGCAAGAAGGTGGCTATCTGCAAGCCAAGAACAGGGGCTCAGAAGAAACCAAACCTGCTGACACAATGATCTTGAACTAGTCTCCATAAGTGTGAGAAAATAAACTTTTGTTGCTTAAGCCACCAGCCTACGATATTTTATTATGGCAGCCTTAGTTTATTCATGCAACTACTAAAAATCATAAGGTATCTGGAATACAGCCCTCAGACTTCTTAACAGCCAGTAGAGTGATCTTAAGATTCATGTAACTAAGAGTTACTTTAGAATTCTCCTCCCCTCAAGAGATTTGGACAATCTTGGTTTGAACCTTCAGTTTCACAGTATAAATGACTTCCATTTAATTTATCCAAATTTCTAAACATTCTTTCAGAGTCCCTGTGGATCCATTCCTGACTCTAAGTATTGTGTTATTCAATCATCTACCACTGGTGCATAGCATCTCAGGATCTTCACCACCATCCACAAGAAATTAAATTAATTCATGATTTTGTGCTGCTTTACTAAAGGTTCCAGGAACTGTGAAAGAAACAGTATCATGTACTGGACAGTCCTCTGCCTTCTAGTTGGTTTTTCCTTTGACATTGAACTGGCTTCCCAAACCAATAACAATGTGATTATCGCCACAACCTTTTGAAAGTTCAATCTAGCTTACCCTTCCCTTACTGGACCTATCTCCCTTCCTCAGCACCTGAATTCTTCTGCTTAATAATAAAGTATTCTGTTATTCCATCCCCTCTACACAGAAACCGAGCATATCGCTCCCCTGTTTGAAACTCATTTGCCATCTCCTGACTGCTTATATGCAGAGCCCAGACTCTAGTCCAGCACTTCAGGATCTCTGCTGTGTCCCCCGCCCCCGACCCTCCAACACACATTGCCCACAGCTATTCTGGATGTGGGTGTCTGGATCACTGGTGTCAATAGCTATACTTTTGTCTGCTTCTTCACTGTTCTCTGTGGGCCAACCCTCTGCTCTCTAGAGCCAACCTCCATTTTTTCAATGATCTTCAGTCCCTCGCAGGGTGCTTGGCACAAAGTGAGAACTCAAGAACTGTGTGCTGAATAAAGACATGAAGAAATAAAAAGTAAATACCATGTTCAACATCTTCCTATGGGGTCTCTGCTTAGAGAATGAAGTCCAAAAAGAGCCTGATGTCAAGGGCCCTCCAGAATCTGTGCCCAGCTACACCTCTCACTTCTCTCTGGTCCCCACCCTCCATATCCGACTCCCTCAGCACTTGTCAGTGACATGAAAAGCAGACCCCATGTCCTGGGGTAATGGGTAGCAGTGGGGTAGGCCCCCAACTTTACCTGTGTAACTGCTGGTGCGTTCAAAGACTTGTTCTCTTAGGTTCTCTTTCCACCTGGAAGGAAGCAGACCATCCGTGAATCTTGGATAAGAATATAATAATCCAAAAATAACAATAATCCAAGGTAGTGGCCAAAAATAACAATAACCCAAGGTAGTAGTAAAAAAAGAACAATAATCCAAGGCAGTAGCCAGAAAAGAAACATTATCCAGTAAAATTCTCACTTAAGCAGAGGGTTTGTAGTTTTCCCTTTAAAGGATAACTCACAAGTGAAGAAATGGTGGGCATGATTAGGTCTACACAACCATGGTCTCCTTTAGCTAAAATTCTTCTAGTTGGTGTTTCCTCTCCCACCTGGAAACTTGTAACCATGTAGCATTATCCCTGCACGGATTCTGACATGTCATTTTCTTAGATAAAGATTATGGCCTAGAAAAGGACAATGATTTTCCTAGGGTCGCCCTGCAACTAAGGGGCAAATCCAGGGCTAAAACCCAGGCTTCCAGGTTTGTGAACTTGCTGTTTACACAGCGTCCTGCTATGTCCAGTTTTGTGGAAGGTGGGAAGATGGAGGCACTTGTTCTTGACAACCTTCAGCTCCCATCCTCTCCCAAGTAATCCCCACTGAATCTGTGGTCACTGAGCACCAGTGACAGTCCTTATCCTTAGAATATTGTCTTGTGCAGAGGAGGTGGAAGGGGTGTGACGAGCTGTAGGCAGCATGAAAAGAAATGAAGGGTTCAGATTACTAACCCTGTCTTCCTGAGAACTTGCCATGAGGAATGGATTATAGGGTGTTTAACTGTTTTTTTCTCAACTTCTCAAAGGAACCACTTGTACTTTTATTTTGGGAAAATTCATTTAAAATCACAAACATATGCTTACCAATGAAAATAAAATATGGCGAAAATGAAAGCTGCAGAAATACAATCTAGGAGAACCCACAGGAACACATAGGACTTTGGTGTCTGCAAAGTAGAAAACAAACTACAGTTCATGAACTTTGGAAGGGATTTTAGATCAGATGGGCCAAGTCCCTACTCTGCTGCCAGGGCTGGGGATGGAGTGGAGGGGAACAAACCAGGCAGAGGAAGCTGTCGGATGTAGTGATCTCACACACAGAGAATACCTGCTGCTCTCCTAACAATCACCCGTCCAAGGGGGGAGGGGCTCTAGAGGGATGAAACTGCACACTCTTCATTTCCCTGGATGCTCAACACAGAGGCCCGAGGGAGTCCCAGAGAAATCACATGGCAAGTCTGCTCTGGACCCAGGACCACAGCCCAAGTTCTGGAGTCCCAGCTCTCTGTGTTTCCATGGCTCGGCTTCCCAAGCCTGGCTGAGCATCCAAATCCACCTGCACAGCTTTCAATAGTACAGGTTCCTGGGTCTCTCTACAGACCTCAGGAATTAGAACTCCTGTATTTTTAACAACTTCCCAGGTGATACTGAAGCACCTCGTCTGTGAGCCAGCAGTTCTATATCATGATGCTTCAAGTAAGTAGGTTGAAATTATAATTCTCCCTTACCTAACATGTCCCCTGCTCTACACTCCTTACCTGAATCACCACATCCCAGAGCTCCAGCTCCTAGGGCCTCTTGTGTGAGTTTTCTAATTTCCTGGTTTGATCCTCCCTTTCTTCCTCCACTGCTCCCCCTCCAATTTTACTTCATGCTGCTGGGGCTGGCATTTTTTATTCTTTCTTAGGCCATTCCCCACCCTATCCCAAGGTCTTTCCTTGGATTGAATAATCCTATATAATAAAGAGGTAATATGCAAATTGACCATCACTCCAACACACAAGATGGCCACCCCCATGTAGTCAAAGATGGCCACCACAAGAAGGCCAGCAGGGGAGGACAGTTGTGGGCAATCAGGCCCACAGGGGAGGGAAGCTAGGGGTGACTGGGATAGCAGGGGAGGGCAGTTGGGAGTGACCAGGCTGGCAGGGGAGGGCAGTTAGGGGCAATAGGGCTGGCAGGGGAGCAGTTAGGCGTTGATCAGGCTGGCAGGGGAGTGGTTCGGTGGTGATCAGGCTGGCAGGCAGAAGCGGTTAGGGGCAATCAGGCAGGCAGTTGGGAGCCAGCAGTTCTGGATTGTGAGAGGGATGTCCGACTGCCTAAATGGGCAGTCAGAAATCCCTCGAGGGGTCCCAGATTGGAGAGGGTGCAGGCTGGGCTGAGAGACACACACACATACACCCCCGCCCCCATGCATGAATTTCATGCACTGGGCCTCTAGTGATATTAATAAAAACACTAATGATCATGATAATAATAAGAACTAACAATTAATGAACACTTACAGGAGCTAAGGAAGTGTTCTAAGCACTTTAAGGGTATTTTCACATCTAATGTTCACAACAGCCCTACTAGACAGGTGTAGTAGGAGCTCTTAACTAACTTCCACTAAACTAGGGCTCTTAACGCCCTCGGGGAACCAGACTGATGGATGCCCACCCCATGAGCATCACCAAGCAAAACCAAGAATAAGTTGTCTTGTGCCTCAAATGGCTTACAACCGTTGTATTTATTGTTTTAATTGTGCAGTATAATAAAATGTTACTTAAATCTGTAAAATCTGAGTGAAAATAAAAGTATACAATGTGACTTTGCTTTTCCTCCCCAACAAGAGGTGAAGTCTGTTTCTGCCCTCATCCACCTTGAATCTGGACTTGACCATGTGATTTTCTTTGGCCAATAGAACATTTCCAAGTTCACAGTAGGATCTGTGTGATAGAAGGGAGAAAGCCACACCTCCAAAATCATAGATGTCTCTGCTCTTAAGTCACTCCCCAGGCAACTACACAGTGGGCAATATACAGGTGGGGTAGGGGATGTAAAATCCTATTATACCAGCCTTGGAAGAACAATCTGGAACTCAGCTCACCATGGTGTAGTATGGGTAATTTATCTGCCTCAGGAGCACAATGTTGTCTGTGGTCACCGAGTTAATCTTGGAGCACCAGGCCAGTGAGAAGACCCAAGGCTCATTGACGATATATAAGTTGATAATGAAGTTAGCTGCTTTATAATCACTGGAACAAAAACAGAATCCATAGGAGATTTAGATTTAATCTTCCCCTCATCATCTAAAAAGGGAAAAGCTACCAGGTTTGTGAAAGGCTGCTGCTTAAATCACCAGAAGCAGCTGGTTCTCAAACAACTTATGATATGACATGCAGAATGGGTTCCTGTAGGAATGAGATTAAGGGAATAGATTTGATACCTCTACTACTGCACCAACAGTGGCATGTTAGTAAATGGATGGCCTAAGGCAGTGGTCGGCAAACCACGGCTTGCGAGCCACATGCGGCTCTTTGGTCCCTTGAATGTGGCTCTTCCACAAAATACCATGAGCGGGCACGCATGTACAGTGCGATTGAAACTTCATGGCCCATGTGCAAAAGTCGGTTTTTGGCCTGGGCAAGTCTATTTTGAAGAAGTGGCGTTAGAAGAAGTGGGGGGTGTTGGTCGGTGGGTCGGGCGACGGGATACACAGCGCGGGGGAAGCGCGCGATTCATGCAGGAGTTGAGGATGGGAGAGTTGGAAGGGGTCGACCTCAGCGAACGTACCTCAATCAGATTGAGGACATTTTTAGCAAAGGCCAGCTTAGGAGTACCCTAATTAAGTTAATAACAATGTACCTACCTATATAGTTTAAGTTTTAAAAATTTGGCTCTCAAAAGGAATTTCAATCGTTGTACTGTTGATATTTGGCTCTGTTGACTAATGAGTTTGCCGACCACTGGCCTAAGGGAAAGCAAAGAAAGAAAAAAGTCCTATTTGTAGTATTTGCTAATTTCTATGGTGTAAATACTCCAACCATAGCCAATTTCAAACTACCACTGGTAAAAACAGGTTTACATAGTTTCTGAATATTTAATAATAGGCTCCCCAAAGCTGATATGAGTCAGTTCCAGCACACTATTGGGTACCACCCTTTATTCTACTTGCTCTCTTATGGGTCTTCTTTACTTGAGTGTAAGCAAATTAAAGGCAGAGACAATATCTATTCATCTTTGTATATCCAGGACCTGGCTAGCATAAGACTTGCCTTCATAAATAGTAGTTGAAGGAATGAATAAATGAATTCCAATTTGGTTAATATTTACATTTCAAATATAAAGATTTTTTTTATAAACATTGAGTAGAGGGAATGAAACCCAATTTTCCCCAGTAGACTAAATGCCAGTAGATACTTGTGTACAGTCTCCAGAAACAGGAAGAACATAACTAGAGGAATATCTAGTGATTCTAATCAGGTAGTCATTTTCAGGGATTAAACTTCTCAGAAAATACACCGTGTATAGCATATTGAAAACAACTCCATAGAGCCTGGGTCTGAATCTCACCTCTGTCATATATATCAGCTTGGCAAGTTCTATAAAATAAAAACAATACCACCACCTTTGCAGGAATGTTGTCAATTATTACCCAATATGTGTCTAAGACAATTCTACATATCACCTAAAGATAAATAAAAAATAGAAGAAAACAGTAGTTAAAAGCTACCTTTTCGTTTCTTTTGAAACTGACACACAAAAACCAATCACATTTTCATTTGGTAATAATGAACAGATAGAAACTAAAATTAAAAACACAGTACCATTAACAATCACTCCAAAGAAAATTAAATAATTAGTTATCTTAACAAAGTAAGTACTGGATCTGTAAGCTGAAAATTACAAAATATTGATGAAAGTAATCAAAGCATATTTAAATAAATGGAGAGACATATGTATTCATGGATTGAAAGACTCAACATCATAAAGATGTCAATTCTCCTCAAATTGATCCACCAGCTTAATGCAATTACCATCAAAATCCCAACAAGGTTTTTTGTACAATTTGGCCAGCTGGTTCTGAAATTTATATGTAAAGGCACAACCTCCAAGTAGCTAAAACAATCTTGAAAAAGAAGATAATAAATTGAAAGAGAATCACTCTACCCAATATTAAAGGTTACTATACAGCTATAGTAATCAAGACAGTATGGTATTAGAGAAGGGATAAACACATAGCTGAGTGGAACATAATTTAATACCCAGAAATAGACCCACACAAATATGCCCAAATGATTTTTGATAAAGGTGAAAAAGTAATTCAATGAAATAATGAAGGTTTTTTTAAATGGTGCTAGAGCAATTGGACAAGCATAGGCAGAAAAAAAGAAGAACCTTGACCTAACCACACAATTTATATAAAAATAAACTCAAAATGGATCACAGATTTAAATATATAAAAACTAGAGGCCCGGTGCATAAAAAATTTGTGCACTCGGGGGAGTCCCTCAGCCCAGCCTGTGCCCTCTGGCAGTCTGGGACTCCTCGGGGGATGTTCACCTGCTGGCTTAGGCCTGCTCCCCGGGGGATTGGGCCTAAGCTGGCAGTCAGACATCCCTCTGGCAGCCTGGCAGCCCATGGGGGATGTCCACTTGCCAGTGGGGAGCAGGCCTAAGCTGTAGTCGGACATCCTTAGCACTGCTGAGGAGGCAGGAGAGGCTCCCACCATCACCGCTGTATTGGCAGCCATCAGCCTGGCTTGTGGCTGAGCAGAGCTCCCCCCTGTAAGAGCACACTGACCACCAGGGGGCAGCTCCTGCATTGAGAATCTGCCCCCTGGGGGTCAGTGTGTGTCATAGTGACCAGTCATTCCCAGTCGTTCTGCTGTTAGGGTCAATTTGCATATTACCCTTTTATTATATAGGATAGAGGCCTGGTGCACGGGTGGGGCCAGCTGGTTTGCCCTGAAGGGTGTCCCGGATCAGGGTGGGGGGTCCCACTGGGGTGCCTGGTCAGCCTGGGTGAGGGGCTGAGGGCCATTTTCAGGCTGGCCACACCCCCTTCAGGGTGGGGTCCCCACTGGGGTGCCTGGCCAGCCTGGGTGAGGGGCTGATGGCTATTTGCAGGCTGGCCAAGCCCCCAGTGGGGACCCTCACCCCATGGGGGTGTGGCCAGCCTGGGTGAGGAGCTGAGGGCCGTTTTCAGGCTGGCCACGACCCTCCCCCCCCCCTCGGCGACCCAAGCTCCCAGCCTCTCCTTTTTTTCTTTTTTTCAGCACCTCCTTGAGTGGAGGCCAGGGCGGGCTGGAAGCTGGTATCTGGGATTTATTTATCTTCTATAATTGAAACTTTATAGCCTTGAGTGGAGCCAAGGGCCGGCCAGGGCAGGCAGGAAGCTTGGCTTCCTCCATCGCTGGGGGCAACCCAAGCCTTCTGCTTGCTCCAGCTCCATGGCCACCACCATCTTAGTTGGGTTAATTTGCATACTTGCTCCTGATTGGCTGGTGGTTTGTGGGTGTAATGGAGTGGCAGAGTGATGGTTAATTTGCATCTTTCTCTTTTATTAGTGTAGCTATAAAACTTTCAGGAAAAATAATAGGAGAAAATCTTTGATATATAAGGGCTAGACAAACAGTTCTCAGACTTGACACTTAAAACATGATCCATAAAAGGGAAAAATGATATTGCACCTCATCAAAATTAAAAATTTTTTGCTCAGTTGAAAATCCTGTTGAGAGGATCTCAGAATAGCCATAGACTTGGGCAAAATATTTGCAAACCACATATCCAACAAAGGACTAGTATCTATAATGTATAAAAGAACTCTCAAAGGTAAAAACAAAACAAAAATCAAGCAATCAATTAAAGAAGATATGAAGAGACAGAAGAGAATATACCAGTTGCGAACAGGCACATGGTAAGATGTTTATTAACCATCAGAGAACAAAAATTAAAGCACGATGAGTACACACATCACTACACACCTCTCAGAGAGGCTACAATAAAAAGTAGTGGTGCCCTAACGGGTTTGGCTCAGCAGATAGAGCGTGGGCCTGCGGACTCAAGCGTCCCAGGTTCGATTCTGGTCAGGGGCATGTACCTTGGTTGCGGGCACACACCCAGTAGGGGGCGTGCAAGAGGCAGCTGATCGATGTTTCTAACTCTCTATCCCTCTCCCCTCCTCTCTGTAAAAAATCAATAAAATATATTTTTTTTAAAAAGTAGTGGTAATGCCAAATATTAGCAAGGATGCAGAGACTCAGGAGGATCAGATATTGCTGGTAGGAATGTAAAATGATAGCCCCTTTGAAAGAGTTTGAGTTTCTTTTAAAACTAAAGAATTACCATACCCCTGAAATTATATTCTTGGGCATTTATCCATAGAAATAAAAACTTGTGTACACAGGAAGGGATTCTGAGAAGATGGCAGAGAAGGAAGCATAAGGAATCTGTCTCCCCACCTAACAACAGCTGTGTTGGCAGAATCTGGAACATGTAGTCTATTGAAGGCTTGCATCTTCCAGAGGAAGAGTTGGATGGTAAGTTATCATTAACTTTGATTAAGTGAATCACTTAGCACATTGGCAGTTACCCATCCCCCATATCCTAGCCCAGTGGTCGGCAAACTGCGGCTCGTGAGCCACATGTGGCTCTTTGGCCCCTTGAGTGTGGCTCTTCCACAAAATACCGACTTCTGCACATGGGCCACGAAGTTTCAATCGCACTGTACATGTGTGCCTGCATGTGGTATTTTGTGGAAGAGCCACACACAAGGGGCCAAAGAGCCGCATGTGGCTCGCAAGCCGCAGTTTGCTGACCACGGCCCTAGCCTCATGGCAGACAGCTATGCACAAGTTCCCGCAGCAGCCAAGGTGGGCAGGTCTGTGATATGATCACTGATTGATGCTTCTGATGAGAGAGGTGTGACAAAGAGGAGAGAAGCCCTAGTTGTTGCACCTCCCTCCACTGTTGAAACCCTTCCCCTTCCAGCTGAGGTGATTTTCAGGGGATTTACAGGACCAGTGATCTTTCTTCCCCCCCTTTCATTTTTCTCTTTTTTTGGTTTTGGACCCCAGATATTAAATACTAGGGCATTGAAAAGCAACTGCATATATAGGGAAAATTAGAAAGTGACTGTGTGTGTCCAGAGAAAGGCATAGAAGATACCTGAGAAGACTTTAAGTTTATACCTCAGGCTGATCCTTGGCACAGACAACCGATCAACAAACAAATGTATACATAACAAAAAACAG